CAGTCTTTTATAAAAACGTTTTATTTGAGAAACTATGATTTACATGAGCAGTCTTTCAGTCTTTTACCGTTTTATATTAAAGGTGAAAACTGTTTGAATTCACTAACGTTAAGTCTAATCCCTTTTATTTGTCGGCATGTGTATTAGGTCATTGATGGACAAATGCTACTAGTGACACCGTGAAGAGTTGATTGCTAGTTAGATGCACGATAACGAAATATCTATATAGAGGACATCTTTCAAATGTTGGAGATAACGACTATTGTTGCGATTTAGTAACATTCGTCTCTAATTATAGACTTGTGTAAGGTTTGAAATATTATATATTGATGTTGAATCTTAGATTTATATTATAGGTAATCAAATGTTGACTTTTAGAAAAACATTTAATCCTTATTTAATATTCTAACAAAAAATTTAAATTAGTCGTTCTTTCAGATTTTAGGATGTTACACTATGGGTCAACTTGCTCAACAATTTTTTTTAACATAAGTAATAACATAGTCCAAACGCGTTATAAATTGCACACCACAAGGCTTAAATCAATAATTTTTTCGAAAAAGAGACTTAAAAGACATTATAACATAAAAACATAGAGAGACCAAATATGTAATTTACTCGATGAATAAGGCATTTACTTGTAAAATTACATTCTTTCTATCCTAAATTGGAAAATGTCATAAAATAAATTGTTTGGCTACGTACTAGAAACATAAAAGGGGGTGTTTGAGAATGCTTATAAAAACAGTTTATTGACTTATTTCAGTGTAGCATCGGTAATAAGTACTTTTGAGTGTTTGAATAAACAACTTATACCGATGTCAAACCGGTAATAAGAAGTTTTTGAAGAAGTTAAACTATTTAACTTAAAATAAGTTGATAAGCAATTTTGTAAAAAAACATAAGTTGTTTCAGGTAGGCAGTGGCGGACACAGTAGCAAAAAGGAGGGGGGAAGGGACTCCGGTCAAAAACTCAAAAAAAAAAATGAAATTTCTAGGTTAAAATTTAGGTTTTACACGATTTACCTTTCACTTCCCCCTATTATATTTTTCCACCGGCCCCCAACCCCAATCCAAATCGTTACTCTAACCAAAAAATCTATTGAAATCAATCAAAAAAACCAAAAAAGTTATTCGAAATCGACAAAAACACTAAAAAATCCCTCGAAATCAACCAAAAACTTTTAAAAATTCCTCGAAATGTTGTAATTAAGTTAAAAACACACCGGACGATTTTGCGGACCTTTAGTCTACCTTAAAGGTGACCCCAGTAGATAAAAATCCTGGATCCACCATTGTAGGTAGGCAATCGGAAACACCCCTAAATCGATAACATATATCTATTTTTAAAAATAATCACTATAAAATCTTGAAAAAAGGAAAAAGTAAATGGTTGGTGAGTTTTATGGTGTGAATGGGCCATGGCTCTCTCTTGTTAACCTCGGAAACAAGATTCTATATCATATAACCAAGAATTAAATGATTATGTCTTAGAAAAAAAAAAAATATATATATATATATATATATATATAGAATTGGTTTGAAATCGAACTAATCCCATTAAAATTCCATCAAATCGTACAATTATGTGAAATTGGTATGAACCTAGCCACCATCTCAGTTCTCACGTAGATTGTGCTGTTCTTGTGGTGGTTGATGAGTAGCCGCTTCTTCATCCGCCTGTGGTGGCGCTTCGTCGGCCGGAATTTCAGCTGGGGCCGCGGCGGCGGCAGCAGCAGCTTCACTTGACGAGGCGTTGGTGGTCTCCACCAACACCACAGGCACCGTTTCCCGCCGAGGAGGAGGGCCAAGCCTACCGTCGATACACGTGGAGCATTTGGTCTCCACCCACCCTTCAAAGTCGTATTGCCCGTGACCCATGATCCGGCGACCGGAACAGAGCCTGCCTATCATTACAGCCACCGCACCCATTACCATAATCACCGCAAGAACTCCGATTACCGGTCCGACTGACCCGTGACTCGAATGAGGTTTGTAGGCTTGTTCTTGTATCACCGGCGGGAATGGTGACGGTTGTTGCTGCGTCGGATCGAGCGCCGGCGTACTCGACATTGTCAAACTCTCAAAATGCAAGCTTTACGGAAATGGCAAACTTATCAAGCAACAAAACAAGTGAAGTTGGTTTTAACAAGAATCTTTCTCAAAAACACAGAAATTTAAGGTGAATCAAGAAACCCAAATTCAAAATCTTTCACATTGAGTGTTAAATTCCCAGAAAAAAAAATCAAGAAAACACAAACTGGGTTTTTCAAGAATCTTTGGCAAAACCCAAATCAAAAGACTTCACAATGAACCCAGAAAGAATGAGGGTATCATGAGCTCAGTCAAGAAACACAAACTGGAACATTTTCACACAGAGTGAGTGTGTGCAAATTCCCAAAAAGCATGGTGAGGTTTGAGCTGAATCAAGAAGCCCAAATTGGGTTTCTTTTCAAGTGTGTGTAAAATTCCCAAAAAGAAGAGAACCAAATCAAGAAAGGAGAAGTGAGATTTCAAGATCTCTTCTTCACATTGTGTGTGTGAAAAATCCGAAAAGCAAGAAAGAAATTAGACATTGAATGTGTGTGGATTGGGGGAGAAGAAAAGTGGTGAGATGAGGTGAAGTGAAGTGAGGCATCCAAGGACATTTTATGGTACAGTATTAGTGGGTGATTCGAAAAGGGTAATTTGGGGTTGTACACAAGTTACTTCATGATTCATGATTGAAGGGGGGGAGGGGGGAGAGAAGACAACATATGAGCTATTTCGAGACTTTTTTGTCCTCCTTTTCTTCATAATCACATGCTCTTTTAATAAAGCTTCATTTATACCTCCTTTTAATGATAATTATAATAATAACAATGAAGGGTGTTAGAAACAGAAATCAATCAAACTATTAATTTAATTTAATTTAATTTTGACTTTCTCACCAACATTAATTGCCATTTATTTCAACTCTTTACACCTCTCTTCATGATCCAACACCAATGCCGAAGATCCAAAATCCAAATACTATAAATATAACCCACCCATAACCACAAGGGGTGGTGCTTGATTGGTTTGAGTTTGGCTCCAAATGTCAAAAGTACCAGAAGGTCTCAGATTCAAATCCAAGGAGAAATAAAAATCTCATTGTGGCCACGGAGGTTCAAACGCGGTGACTCTGGGTTATCTGCAAAGCAGGTGATCGCCCTGGGATTAGTCGGCTCGCATAGCGGGTTGGATATCCAGGTTAATAATATATATAACCCACTATCTTTTAAGGTAAATTAAAAGAAAATAAAAGTTGTTTCTTGTTATTAAAAACGGTTTTAATATAACGACTCTGTTTGACGGCAGATTAAAAAAAACATAAATTGTTTTGAGTTATTAATTGTGTAGTTACCATAGCTAAAGATCGGAGTAAGAAATAGAGAACTGAATAAATTAATAAGATCTTCTCCAACCATTCTTTGAAATCTCTACCCACAAGTTTGGTTGTTTGGGGAACCAAAATCACTCCGATACTAAAGGTGGAATGAGTAGATTTAATCAAAATTTCATAGCTCGATTTACCTCTAAAGGTGGATCAATCAAATGAGTCTTTTGTTGAATTGGATTGTAATTAGGATTGGGAATTGATGTTATATCAAGTTTGGTGTGGTTTTTGATCAAAGTAAGTCATGGTTATCAGCTACATTGGGATTTGATGAGGCAAAGATGTTATATCAAGTTTGGTGTGATTTTTTTTTTATCAAAGTAAGTCATGGTTATTAGCTAGATTGGGATTTGATGAGGCAAAATCGAGCAGAGTCTGCGCATATGAAACAATGGGCGTCGCGAGTTGCACTTCGACTTTGGTCGCACCCCAAATCGCGTGAGCGATTGTTTCTTCGTTCTTAGTGTCCGCATGATGGGTAGAGAGAGGTTGTGTTTTAGGCCTTTGTTTAGGATTTGATAGTGGTTCAATTGAGGATGCTCAATGGGAATTAACTTGTTAATATCTAGTTCTAACTTAGGTTTGTGGTTGGTGCAATCATAGCCTAAAAGGGTATGTTTAGGCTAGGACTTCAGGTGAGTTTTCTCTTACTTTTTGGACATATCATTACTTATCTATACATGTTTTAAACTGATTAGTCTGTGTACATTCATGTCATGTAATTTTATTTCTAAATGAAGACCATTACTAAGTGTGCATTATAAGTGTATGGGTGTGTGTGATGATGTCTTGGTCAACGGGAGGTGTGTTCCCAAGTAAAGTACATGAATTCATTTCATGATACTTATGAAATGGCAGGTGTGTAACCAATCGTGAAGGGTCACATGTGTGCATGACCTTAAGTGTGTACTATTGTTGTTTCTATGTGACTATGTCAATATTAAAGGTATTTTTGCACTGTTGACTTTCTATGTGACTATGTCGATATTGAAGGAATTCACTAGACCTTTGGTCTAACCCTCATTTTTATAAAATGAAAACCATTTTCAAGAAGGTATAAGGTAAAGAAAGGGAAGGTGTGATCCTCGCAGCTTAGAGCGTGGGTGTTATCTTAATAACTAGATAGTTGTTTTAAACTTGATTTGAACCTTGTAATAAATCTAAGCAGTAGTATTTTGTTGTTCAGTTGTAACTAATGAGAAGAATTAGAGAATGTTGACCCTTTAATATTTTTAGTAGTTGGCATTTATAGTTAAGTTATGCCTATTCGGTTTATGGTCGTTACAAAAACACTATTCATTAACCATAATGGTGATACCTGATTGGTTTGAGCTTGACTCAAAAGGTCAAAAGTATCAGGAGGTCCCAAGTTCAAATCCAATAAGAAATAACAATCTCCTTGTGGTCACGGAGGTTCAAATGCGGTGACTCCGGGCTATCTGCAAAGCAGGTGGTCACCTTGGGATTAGTCGGCTCGCATAACGAGTTGAATATTCAAGTTAATAAAAAAAAAACACTATTCATTAGTCTCCCAAGAAATTAATTTTTTGAACTCTTTTTAGTTATTGAATTTTTTTTCTATATATTTATTATTTATAATTACTTTCTATATTTGGTAAGTATTTATCATAAAAAGTAAAAATTATTTTATATAAAATATATTATTATAGAAATATAAAACAAGTGAATTATTTTGTATATTGATAAAGATAATTGATTGCAAATATTAAATATATGTGCTAAATATTGTTATATTGGTGTAAAGGATGTGGTCTATAATGCACTATTTAAATTAATTATAAATAGATGCTTTATTTTTAATCTTAAAAATAAAATTTCATATAAGAATCTATTAGGGTGTCAATATAATTTTATTTAATACAATTAAAAAAGGATTGAAATTGAACATTTTGGTGTGTATATATATATATATATATATATATATATATATATATATATAGACTTGGGATCATGTGAGACCAAGTGTTTTTCGTGAGACCCGTAAGACCAATTCTCAACCCTTGGATTAGATATACAATCGTCAGATCTTAACATTTATAAACGTCACGAGACTTCTCAATAATCACAAAATTGCCACCGTGCAATTTTAGACCGTTAGATCATTAACTTATAAAGTTGATCAATGAACATAAATTGGTCTTACGGGTCTCACGAAAACCCTTGGTCTCACGTGAACCCAACCCTATATATATAGAGGTTAGAAGTTAAATCAAATTTATAGAAAAAAGTTATTATTAGGATGAATAATTTTTTTTCTAAATTTAATATCAGATTTGATAACAAAGCTATGTATATTATAATACTACTAGATAGGTACTCGTACAATGCAGCGAAATAAATCTTTATTTTAATGTTTAGTTTTTATTTTTTGTCTTTGTCGATATAATATGATTTTATGTGGTTTTGAGAAAACGGTTGGAAGATAGCATAAAAATTTAAAAAATAAAATAAAATCGATATTAGTATTAAGTTAACTATTTAATAGTTCTCGTTTTTTTTGTGTAACTTTTTTAATTCAATTTTTTATTATAATTTAATTTTGGGTCTAATAATAAAGTACTTTATTTTTTGTTTAATAATATAATTTTTATTAAAGATAATAATTAAACATTCAATTAGAAACTCAATGATTATCTTAATTATATTTTAGATTTCTTATATTTAAAATAGATGTTTATCTTTATTCTGTTTTTAATTACGTTTATCTGCAGTTAGTTACACGAATTTAAAAATGAAGCTTTAATAAGTTGTACTTATGCAAAATCACTTGTAATCTTGAATTTTAAGTAATATGCATCAATAAACAATACTTCATGCATAAAAAATGGTTTTTAAGAGTTTCTGTCAAATACTTTATAATATAATATAGATTACTATTAGTTTGAAATGAGATGCCTTCTTACACTCCATCTTATAACAGTTACTTGTTACGGTTGATATGATTTTATGATAGCTTGGTATTTTTATTTTCAACATTAAAAACCCTTTTTCTATTAAAATTATATCATATACAACAATTTACCCGGCAAACGTTAACCGGGAAATAGTTATCGCCCTCACTTGCCGGGTAAAACTCTCGGTCCTTGTATTCGTTTTTATCGGATAAACTCTCGATTTTTGTCATATTTATCTGATAAGGTAATATTACTTGGTAAATGTTTATCGGGGTAGTGTTTGGTAAATGATCTCTAACTTATACATAATATAAAAAATGTAAAGTGACTTAAGAGAATATAATAAAAATTTATATAAAATTTAAGAGGCATAATCTATATTATATTATAAAGCATTTGACAAAAACTTTTAAAAACCATGTGTTATGCATAAAGTATTGTTTATTGATGCATATTACTTAAAATTCAAGATTACAAGTAAATTGTGCATAAGTACAACTTATTAAAACTCTATATTTGAATTTGTGTAACAAACTGCGGATAAACATAATCAAATAGAGAATAAATATCTTATTTTAAAATATAAAAAATCTAAAATATAATTAGAATAATTATTGAGTTCTAACAGAATACTTAATTATTATCTTTATAAGAAATATATTATTAAACCTAAATTAAGTTACTTCGTCACGTTAAATTAAATTATAATAACATTTTGAATTAAAAAAATACACAAACAAACTTTTAAATAGTTAATTTGATACTAATATTAATATATTTTTTTACAAATTTTATATAATATTTTCAAATTTATATTTTATTCAAAAATAGAAACATTATCGCTTTTCCAATACTATATAAAATCGTATTATATTGGCATAGATAAAAAAATAAAACGAAACATTAAAATAAAAATGTGTCTCGATGTATTGCACGAGTACCCTTCTAATAAAAAATATATATATATATTTTGTCATTAATTCTCTTAGATAAAAATAAGTTTCTAAAACTAATAGTAAACTATGATTTTTGTCCCTGTGGTTTGATATTTATTGCGATTTTCATCCTCGGTTTATAAAATTGCTTTTTTCATCCATGTGGTTTCATTTTTTTTCATTTTTCATCCTCAAAACTAACTTTGTTAAAAAGATTCATTAAGTCAAGGGCGAATTGGTCTTTACATATTTTTATATTCTTTATTTATTTGTTGTATTACATGTACAAGTTATTATAGTTTGGAATACAACTTAGCATATAATTTATAGAAAAAAACAAAAACATATCCTAGCTAATTCACCCATGTGACCACCCGCTGCAAAACCCATCTTCTCCGATGCAACAACCACCATCGACAACTTCAACCTACAATCCATGCCCTTATTTGATTTCATATATCCCTCCCTTTGGATTTTGGGGTTCCTCTCTTGCCACCACCGCTATTCTCCACCATACGAAAGAGCTAAAACAAATTCATCACAGAAGGTGATGAGATCAGCGTCGTTAAAAAGCTCTTAAAGATGGTTTTGATCTACGGCTTAGGGTTTTAACTTTTACTGTTTTGATTTAGGGTTTCGATGTGCTTGATTTTGGGGTTTTAATGTATTGTTTTGTATAAAAAAATTCCGGAATGAAACAAAATAATATTTTTAATAATATATCATTTAACATATAAATAAATAAAACAAAAATATTGTAAAGACCAATATGCCCTTCTTTTCAATAGAATTAGCTTCAGGGACAAAAGATAGAAGAAAACGGAAACCATAGGGACTAAAAAAGCAGTTTTTAAAAAATCGAGGACAAAAATGACAATAAAGAATAAATATAGGGACGAAAACATAGTAAAATGAAGAAGAAAAGAAAAGGAGATTTGAAAGTTAACGTATCTTGGAGAAGAGTTATAAGGAATCTATGCATCAGTTGGCAGAGTCTGGTAAGGCTTTGCCTTTTTTCAGAAAACGAACTACTCCTGCTCCATCATCTTTTATTCCTTTCCCTCCAATTAAATTGTTTTTTTTTTTTTTTTAAATGCAAATAATCCGTCCATTTCAAAATTTAATATAGGTATTCCGATTCAAAAATATCGATGTTATTACTTTCATCTAACGGATTAATGGGTTTTTGTTGATATTTAAAAATAAAGAGTTTTATCTTATTCGAGCATATATGGCGGAAACTTTTATCTGTAGGTTAAACCACAAGGGTAGTGCCTGATTGGTTTGACTTTGGATCCAAATGTCAAAAGTATCAGGAAATCATAGGTTCAAATTCAAGGAGGAATAAAAATCCCCTTGTGGCCACGGAGGTTCAAATGCGGTGACTCCGGGTTATCTGCAAAACAGGTGGTCGTCCTGGGATTAGTCAGTTCGCATAGTGGGTTGGATATCCAGGTTAATAAAAAAAAAAAGTCAAAGACCAAACACGTATTGAAAAATCTATGTATTTCGCCCTCGGTCCATGAATGCACAAAAACCATTTATTAGTAGTCGTTTAACCGGTTTGAATTGGGTCTAGTCAAAGAGTATAACCATGGACTTGGTTATGGCATAATCGGTCTTGATTCCTTAAAGGGTTCTTAACTAAAGTGTAAGAGGGGAGTAATCGAGTATCACATGATGCATTTAAAATAAAATAAAAAGAAGTGTGAGGGTGAAAATATCGAAATTTAGAGAAATCTCTAAGAATTTTATACGTATGAGAGAGAAATAATGTTTAATTATGTATCATCAACAGTAGACTTTGAAACCGAGTGTAGAGAGAAATAATATTTTATTAAATATGTAATTTTTTATAATAATATAATGAATGTTAGAATCTCTAAAATAGAGTAGTTGTTGGAGTTTGATATAATTTTTTTAGAGATATGGCTTTTGATACTTTATTTTAGAAAAATAATAGAATATCTGTTGGAGATGCTCTAACTGGTTAATCTTAGTTGGTCTTTCAATAACATGTCCCTTAATAGATTATTTAGAGGAAAAAAAGTCGTATTTGATAAGGATCAACTGATTTTAACGAGTCCTTAACAGACCCCTCTTTAATTTAATCCGTCAAATTGTAATTGGTAATTGGTCTCCATATGGGACTTAATCGGTTTTCAGGCCTTCATGCCCACTTCTACAGTTCTACCCTATTAGTACATTGGTTTCCTTGGATGATCAACTCAAATGATTCGTCGATGAACTGTCAAACTTAATCATGCCAAAGACTTTTCTTTGTTTAAATTGTGCATATCATGTATCACTAGTCTCCACTGATTGAAAAACAAAGATGTATTTACATTGTGGAAAGACATTTTGTAAATAGTAGCAAAACTTGTTTTTCTTGAGCTTTTCTAGTCGACATCAATGTAGCATTTGTATCCATAAGACATACATTCACACACAAGTACAGTGGTTTGAAGCCACTCCATGTCCAGGGTTTGTACCCCTACACTTACTCGTGAAGAGAGCCAGGATACAGTGGCTTATATGATTCGCTGATGAACCACAAAATTAATCATGCCAGGGACTTTTTTTAAGCTTTATATCTTATATATCAGTGATTTTGCTATATAGAGAATGTGTTTGTGGCTCTGCTTTTTGTAAAACCAATATATATGTGTACTATGAAAAGATAGTTTTCAACAAAGTAGCAAAACTTGCTCTTGAACATTTATAATCGACCTTTATGCAACATTTCTACCCGTAAAATGTGCGTTTTAGGAATGGTAGTTTGATCCTTCCCCTCCGTATACCTGGTTCACCTGACCTGACAAGAGACAGGGAATCCTCGCATAACCAGTGATAAGCCATCCAGGATGGGGACGGGTATTCCCAAACCTGACCATTGATCTCCACTTTTTTGCACAATCCATTGACTATGCATAGCCTCGCGCATTTATTTTTCTTTATTCTCATATTATGTACTCAAATTTTCAGTAACATGCAAAACCCATTTTCTTGATCTTGTTGTACACGAATAGGTATCGGCCAGTCACCATCCCCTTCCCCCACTCACGTCTTTGTCTTCACTTCTCTTTGGCACCAACACACACACCGACAAGCGACCACCATCTCCTTCCCCCACTATGACCCCCCTCCCTTCCTCCACTCTTTGGTCTTATTTATGATTTTTGGCACTTCAGTTTTTCTAATTTGACCATCCTTACTATCCAGACTTTCATCAAGTCTGCCTCTGAAATTTCAACTCTTCCATTTCCTTAAACATGTTAAAATATTTTCTAAACATCTTAATAAACTGATTCAGTTAAGGATGATATATAACAATTTATTGATGATCTTTTCAAAGCTCTTATGCCCCAAGACTTTTCAAATTTGAAAGAGATCTTGGCCAAAACGTATGATATTGATTTTCACACAAATTTAAACTAAAGTCTATTAAAGATGTTGGTATTTAAATACAATATTTGACTTTTGAAGGTCAAAGATTCTTTGGTCAACATACAAGTGATCCAAAGAGTCAAAAGTCAAACAATTATTCCCAAGCATCCACCATTACCAACACCACAACCAACTTAATGATTCACCTCACCACATTTCCTTCTAACTTGACCATCTTGCCCTGTGATTACCCCAATATTACCGAGCTTCACCATCGATGTCGCAAAATCCCTGTAAAAAAGATTCGGGTACATGCTATAGTCGTTGACCATAGCAGAAGTTTGTGGATCACTCATCAAGGCTTGATCGGATTCAAGCAATCCAGCATTGTTCACCAGGTTCTTATAGTATGCGTTATCAAACTTGTATGTAGTCACCATGTCTAGAGAATTAAGGTTCCCATTTGATTTATCGACATTAGGACATGAGGTTTTCAAGCTCGAGGCTAAAGATGAGTCGAGGTTTGGATCAGGTTGGCCCGTCCCTTTGAAGTCAAATAGCCTGTTTTTGAATGTGAAGCATTGAGCCATCCCAATAGTATGTGCACCTATGAGGCATGAAAATAGTACTTCTTACTGGTGTAAAACAACATTCTAAAACCAAAGCAAATAAATTCAGGATATCCCATACAGAGGTAGGGTCTGTGATAGGATGTACGCAGATCTTGCTTTTACCCCAAGGGGTAGAGAGGTTATTTCTATGAAGATCCGAGCTTGCAAATCTACAAAAGAACGTATTGATGGGTCATTTACCAACACAGATTTGGTAAGTGTTAACCAAGTAAGAGTGTGATCTGGGTCTAGACTAATTGTTGACCGAGTTATTAAGAGTCCCTCCCTCAGCTTACTAAGTCAACATCATGAAGAGCTTGGTAAACACTGACCGCATATTCACCTCTTACTCGGTAAGAGGTGGTCAGCAGGTCGCAAAAAACCTCTAAATAAATGAACAAAAAATGCCAACGGCTAGTACCTGAGAGAACCACGACATCTCTCAAATCAAGCCCGACTGCTGCAAACTTAGCACTGATGTTCGCAAGGGGTTCAAAGGGTGCTGGCAGGTTCTCATTTGCTGCTTTCAGGTTTGCTGTTACCCCATCTCGCCGCCCTACTGCAACGGGCCAATTTGGCCCTCCTGACTAAACAAAGCCGATTAAATTTCAAAACCACGAAAATGGTGTACAAAAGAACGTGAACTAGGATCTTGACGGATTGTAGACAAGTTATAAAAATTGTTGCAAAAATTACAGCTTGTAGTACCAGAACAACGGCTTCTCTAGCTGCAAAAGTCAATATATCAACACATGAAACAGTCAACGGGCAAGCCCTTTCCACATCAGCTTTTATATTGTCGATAACGTAAAACCCACGAACCGAATTACGGTTTGGCCCTGCTTTCTTTTCTCCCTTGAAGGTTTTAGTATCATCCAGAAGCACAGAACCGTCACAACCCTAAAACCAAACAGGAAACAATCTTGAAATCATAGTACTTTTGATGGAACTACATTAAAACTGAATAACAAAATGGCAGATAATTACATTGACAAAACAATCGTGGAAATGAAGACGAAGAAGAGACGCAGCTATCCTGGTGTCATTCTGCATAGCAGCCCAAACACCATATCTAACAATCATGGGTAAGCTAGGGCAGTTTGTGTAGTAGTAGTAATTAAGCTGGCCATTAGTTAAAAGGGATGAAAGGGAAACCAAGAGAATGATAATGGTATTCTTATGATTCATAGTGGGTTCAAGTGGAAAACGATGTTTTGTTAAGATTCATGGTGGAGTTATGGTGGTTATTTATAGGCCAAAAAGAGCACAAGAATATGAGTATTCATTGGATAGGCCACTAGAGTGGCATTGCCATTATAGTTGTGATAACCTAATGGCCATGTTCGTGATGTCTGCAACTAAACAATGGTTACTTTTAGCTCCATAATCTGGAGAAGATGGGTACACCAATGAGATCACCATTGTCTTTTTCACTAAACAAAAGGTTAATTTCTAGAAAGTTGCACTAATCCATTGATTTGAATTTCTTGAATAAGGTGACGAGGACCCAATTAACTAAAATCTTGAGATAAAAACATAAAATTTCGATTAAATTAGCACGTGGTGAATAAATTATCAAATGAGGTAGCAAGTTATAGGAAGGTGCAATGAAGATGAATCAAGTCAACCCCATGGGTATGAAGATGTCAATATAAAATAATTGTAAGTGGAGGTGAAGCATGCTATGATCTACTCACAGGGACATTTTAACGAACACTTGGCAGAAAAATAATCCCTCATGCTTAATGAGACAAATAACTTCAAAAAGAAAGTAGAACCTGAAAGGGCTTTCAGCCAATTAGCTGGCATATTGCTTTTTTATGCCTTTTTGTTCTGCAAAGAGACTAAAAGTAGAAAACCGAATTCTGGGACCATATTCTGATTAGGGTTTTAGCCATGCAAATGGAATAAAACAAAGCAATATATTCATCATGGAAATTCTACAAAAATGTAGTTAATATAGCTACCCTTGTAGTCATGGTCAGTCCTAGAACAAAATGATGAAGATAATTTACATCAAGAACACTCAAAGCATGGCATAACATTTCATAAAATTGTATCTTTGATAATAAATTTCAGTCAAGAACTTCCGATTACTACTTCATGCTGTATCTCAAGGTCCAAATTACAATTAAACTTTTGCATAATAGAAACAAGAAAAGGAATTGAACCTGGTTGTTGATAGTTTGTGGAAGATCGTCAGTGAGGACATTCGTCGAATAGTTGGGAATCAATACATAAACTTAATCAGCCCAATTACCTATACCCAATTACCCATATATTTGATGTATGGATAGTGATAATCCTAACCAGATATCTCCTTTCTGTTTCTCTGCTTCATATTGGTTTTCTAATCGTGTTGTGATCATAGGACTAATACTCTGCTTCAGATTCTCCACTGTATCATTTTGACACCTTAACCATTCTGCCGTTGAATCTTTGTATGAACCCTTAACACCAGCTATTTAATGTCATACAATCATTTCATACGATATCTATATAATTGTTGTTAAATGTGGGGTTGGTTTTTGGCGAGAATAAAAATGAGGGTGAGAAATGATCTTCATTCTTAGATCAATCCATAATCGAAGATCAATCCTAATGAGATGTACCAGATCAATTAGCGTTAGAAGCTCAATTCATAGAGTGGGGGTGAGATTAAAAATGATCAAGGGTTTAGTTCCCCTCTTCCGCTTCTCATCATAATTTTTGACGATCATTCGTCCTTCAATGTGTAGACGATAACATATATACATCTAATAAACAAGTAAACTGGGCGACACGTGTCATCTTCTGGTGAGTCGGTTATCTCATTTTCCCGCCTAAACATGTATCTAGACACAATTTACATTAGTGGTTCAATTAAACTCATTTGAACGTATCTAGACACAATTTACATTAACAGTTCAATTATATTCATTTGATTGACATGTGTCCTCTTATTCAATCAATCCTACTAATTTTGGATGCAATCGATTTTATTCTTTGGTTAATTAATTCATGTGGTAACTGATTCCCGAAAAAAAATTTGTTTACTTCTAAGTTTAAATTCAATTTACTGATATAGTTTCATTTCTAAATTCAACTTTATTCTAGGGTTAACTTCATTTTATTTTAAATTCAATTTACTGAAATGTTTTACTTCAGAGTTATTTCAAGAGAACAAGTCTGAAGTCATTCTTCAGAGTTAGCTCACTCTCGAACTCTGAAGTTTGCTTTTTCAGACATAATTCAACCGAACTCTGGAGTCTGAACTCTAAAATGTTCTTTTTTTCAGACTTAGAAGTCTGAACTCTTAAGTCTTTTTAGATTTATTTAGTTTTTAATTTTAATTAATTCATATTTTTCTTATCATGTTCTATATATATAAAAACTCTAGAAACACTTTTGATATAAAAAATCACATTTTTCATCAAATATTACATGTGACATCCAAAGATGTGATAATTATAGATATTTTGTTAATCATATGTGATTACTTATATTTATATCTATAGATTCTTTTATGATATAAATATTATTACATGTAATATTACTTCACTTATATTCAGACGTATATTATTATATGTGATATGTACAAAAAGTCAAGCAGTGGATCATATGTGATATGTACAAAAAGTCATGTAGTGGATCATATGTGATATGTACAAAAAGTCACGTAATGGATCATATGTGATACATATATGTGATACATAATAGATCATATATTAAACGAAGTTAAACACATATGATTCAAAACGTGAATCCAAAAATAAAGAAATAATGGTGGAAAAAATAATGATTGATTGTCGATATCACATATGATATTTGATGAAAACCGATAAAAAAATTATGAAGTAATTAAAATTTAAAAGCAAATAAATTTAAAAGATATAATAATATTTTTAAGTATTTATCTAATTCAAAAAGGTAATTACTCTAATTTTTTAAAATTATTTTCCATTTTTCATTTATGGTATTTTTTTAATTGATGGATTATGTGATTCATATTCATTCTTGTTTTCTCCCAAATTCTCTCTCTCTCTATATATATATATTTATACTACATATATAAGCATTTAAGACAAAGTCTTAAATACAACTCTTTAAACACAAGTTACAACCATTTTATGCATGATTTTCAAAAAACTCTTATAAACAAGTCACAAAGCACAATGTACAAGTGTTTTATGCATTGAGTTTAACCTTGTTTTTCTCTCTTCCTTTTCCAAAGACAATCTCTTCCGCCAAAAATGGGTAAGGTCAAAATGGGCTTTTTTCTGTTCTTCTTTCCTTTTCCAGCTTCCTCCTCTTTTCTAGCTTCCTCCTATGTGCCTTCTTCCTTTTCATGATTCCTCCTCTGCGCCTTCTTCCCAATTAGTAAGGTCAACCCTTTGCTTTCTTCAATTGCTGCAACCTTTGTAGAAATGGCGGGCTCCCAAGACAATCTCATATGTGCATATAACCAGAAGTTTGAGGCTTTGATTTCACCACAGGTTCTTCAAAACCCTAGCAATTTCTTTGAGGTATTGATTTGGTTTACATGTTCTTCAAAACTCAGGTTCTTAATGTCGTTTTTTATTTCGTTTTTGGATTTCATTTCTGGGTCTGTTTCCATTTCATCTTATTTGTAACTGAGTTTTCAATGTTGGATGATTTCATTTATGTGTCCATTTCAACTTATACACACACACATCTGGCCACAAACAAAAAAAGTAAGATTAGAACTGGTGATTTGAGCCCTCCACAATCTTGAGGGCTAATTCTTCTTCTCTGTTGTTGCGATAATCAGCAGAAAACCCTGAACTGAAATCTTGATGGATTAAAGATAAGTATTCACAAATAGTTTATGGTTTGAGATCATGGTCATCTTCATTTCAACTCTGTTCTGTTTTTAATCATATTTTTATTTTATTTTTTATTATATTTTTTAATGGTCTATTGTTTGTTGAGGTTGAATTTGAGGCTGCTATGGAATATGAATTTATCATCTTTCTTTGCTTCTTGTTTGAGTTGGAACTGGAAGTATCTTGATCTATAAGGGGGTTTTATGGGTTTCAATACACCAACCAAGGGCAGATACAAGAAAAATCTCATCATCGGCCAATTCTCCTCCTTTTAGTAACTTGTAGCTATCAAGAACAAAGAGACTCCGGTTCCGCTTTCCTACAAGCATGACAGGAGAATATTGCTTTATATACAATAAAATTATTTGCAATCAAACAATTGAAAGGAAATAGAGGAACTATTATTACCTCCAGGTACATTGTAGTCAAGATCTGCAAAGTAAAAAACAAACAAACACAATCAAACACGGATATTATTAATGGATCATTGCTCAGAAGATGATTTTATATTTTGTTAATACAAAGTAAACATAAGAAATATATGAACTATTCTATGTAGTTTATGGATAGTCCTTCTCTATTAGAAGATTGTTGATGCTTCCCACCCAATATAATAGAAATGTATAGTGTTTAGCACGTAATACTTTGCTCAAGTATAGCGTTCAGTAAAAATCTTTATTGAAATCATCACCTCCAAGTAATCACCATCACCTCCAAATGAAACAGAAGCATGTCATTTCTAATTTGCATTTTGCCTTATCATATTATTATACTGTTTTGGATTTGCATTCACCATCACACAACACACATCTTTTGGATTGGCCAAAATGTATTATACTATTTTGTTCTTACTGGTTGTGTTTGTGTGCTTACAGTTTCAAGACAAAGTCTGGTTGTGTTTGTGTGCTTACAGTTTCAACAGCAGCTGTTTCTTCATCAGGTATAAACACATCTTTAGAATAGCTCCATCAATTTAATTGGACAGCATAAGCATCATGGTTAAGGAAACCTCTTTTAGGTCTATAAGTAATCTTTGAGGATGTGGAGGGTGTCATCATGGGGTTCAACTTAGCAATACTACTGTTTGAATCTTGCTTACATATTTCATGGTTGTTTGTTTACATTAAGCTTACGTATAACCTATTTACATGSCTATTTTGATTTTAACCACATGAACATGCATAAGGATCAATACTTAAGTCTAAGGATCAATATACTAGCCAAGGATCAGTACAAAAACCAACACCCCTGTGCCTGCTGTTTTTGTACTGTAAAACTTCTTAGACCTCTGTATGCATTAAAGTTGTATGCATACAGAGGTCTCAGAAATTCTGCAGTAGCCATATAACCTGTTGTAATATAAC